CGTATTGCTTAGCTGAATCTTAGAAAAATCATAACTTCCTCTAATGAAGTCAGATTTAGACGTTCTCTATATGTACGGATTCGCTTTTACATATACTACGACTTTCGTTTAGATTACTAAGGCTAACAAGCGACCTATCTTCGATTCACTATTTACGACATCCGTAGCCGTGCCGGTTTGAACGTTAAACTTCAATGCATTATAACTTCTTCGTTATAAGTTGGTTTTGAGCTTCCCTTATATCTCCATAATCCTTAGCGTGACTACTACATCTTTCATCAAGGTTGTTTGGCCTAATTATTATTCTAGTAAAGGTGTGTATTTCTTATTTCTTATTTTATTATCTCACTTTAAACATGTATACTACATATAACTACACATAGGACACATAATACTCAAATAATTATCTTTATTTAGTTCAAAAAAAATTACAATTATTGACCCTAACTATTATATCATCTTATTAATGCCTAGCGAGAAACACGAGGGTTACATTTTGCCATAAATGTTTTGTATTTTGGTAGATTTAGTCACTACAACAAAGGTTTTCATTTTGACAAATTTAGTCCCTGCAAACAATGGTCTTATGTTTTGGCGTATTTATTCCCTGCAACAAAGGTTTTACATTTTGGCAGATTTACCCCCAACAAAAAATGTTTTACATTTTTGGCAGATTTAGTCCCTTCGATTTACTCCATGTAACAAATGTTTTACATTTTGGAAGATTTAGTCCTTGTAATTATTTAGTTTACAGAAAAGGTCTATTTATCCCAACACTTAGAAACGATAACTTTTTGATGATTAGAATTTAGCCACAAATGTTTCCAGAGTTGACACTTTTGGTCCCTTACTTTCGTCAAATAATTATACACATATTCAGAATTTAGCCATAAAGGTTTCAAGAGTTTGCCACTTTTGGTCCTTGTCATTTACCAAATATGACTCCTAAAGTTTTTGCCACATTAGTTTGTGGAGTTGGCACTGTTGGTCCCCTACTCTCCTCAAAACAATATACACACATAAAATAGAACCGACAAACGAGAAAAATCCATAGAAACACTAAAACATGTAAACATAAAATATACTATTAAATCACATAGCCCTTAGGAAGATTATAGTTTTCCTTTTACAAAGTTTTGCCTTAAAACTTTTACATGTTGGCATATTTAGTCCCTGCAACAAAGGTTTTATATTTTGACCGATTTAGTCCCCAAAGCAAAGGTTATACATTTTGACAGATTTAGTCCCTATAACAAAGGTTTTATATTTTGGTAGATTTAGTCCCTGTAATTTTTTAATTTACACAAAAGGTCCTTGTAAAGTTTTTTTCTTTCAAAAAAAGTCCATATATGTAATATTTTTGTATTTTGGCAGGTTTGACCCATGCGTACAAAACTAATTACAAAATTGTCCTATTGGGTTTTACTAAACTGATGATAATACATTAAAAAAACCCGACCACATTGCGTAGCATGTGTTTTTTCTAGTTAGAATTAATTAAAGGTGCAAGGACTTAAGTTGTAATTGTTCAATAATTTAACAATGCAGAGGTTCTAGAACCTTCCATAGGTGGACGGTTTTGGAGGCCCTAATTAGGGTTTCTGTAAGCCTCCATTTGGATAATTAATGGATTTCATAATTACCTAATTTGAAATAATATTATTATATTCAAATTAGGGTTTCCATGATTCATTGAGCAGCTATAAATAGGACCCTTTGGTTTTGTATTTTCATCCACTCCATACACCAAAAGGATAGCCATAAATTCTCTCCTCTCATCCTCTCTCTTTTCTTGTCTTCTAGTTGCTAGGGTTTGGGTACAATCCATTAGAGACATTAAGCTTTTGGTGCTAGCTTTTTAGAAGAGGCAAAGGAAAGGAATCAATATTTATTTGATATAATAAATCTAAGGTATGTAAACCCTGATCCTTGTAATTTCAATTTTATTAGGGTTTCTCTAGGGTTCTTGATATTCATAGTATGTTGTTATTATTTGTGAAGACATAGATCCTTATAGGTTGCATGTATCTTCTTAATTGTTAAGTGATTTTTCCATATTGTACATATTTGTTATGACATATAAAACCCATCACTAAAAACTTCATAATGTGAGTTAAAGTATGTATTTAGTATAACTATGATTTGAGGTGAACTTAAAACAACGAACTGATGATAATTCAGTGATGCAATACATAGGTTCTTGTACTTATTGTGTTGTATCAAAAAATGAATAGAGTTAAACCAGTAAACTGTGAAAGAAAATGATAGTTCACTCTGAGACAGTTCCGTGGTATAAAGTTTGTCAAAAATGGAGTCCGTATGAGAAAGTTATGGTCATTTGAAATTGAAATGAAAGTACGTTGCTATTTCAATTCAAGTCAACAATCAACTTTTGGTCACCACGAAATGGTATGAGGTGAGTCATTGGAGCATGTGTCAAATAGAGAGCGACACATGGCGAAAGTATGAGATAGGTGACAATCATCAGAGAAGTTGTTGACCATGTCGTGGTCAATTGATCACCACAATGTGGTAAATGTTTAGAGTATAAATATGTCTATTTCGTGTCAATTGCGAGATTTTGGCACGCTTGATCAAAGATTCTGCTCGGGAAGCGTTCTCAGGAGATTTTAATAGATGTGTTATACCATTATACGGGATATACGTGGCTGAGTTACATGATTCGTTGATGTATATTTTATCCCGTATTAGGTAAATATGGTTATGTGATATTTCATAGAGGGTTGTTAGACATGAGTATATGTTTTGGGATTTCATGATATGGTGCTATTACGAACCTGATGATTTGTTAAATGTTAATCTAGTCATTATGGGTAAAATACCCTAATTTACCGAGATTTGGCGATTGGATTTACGGCTTTCGGGGTAAAGTCATTAGTGAATTGTATTTGAAAATGTGACCAGTTTTGGTGACAAATAGTTCTTGAGTCTAGTTAGTGATCATGTAAATGATCACTGCAATGGATATATTGATGAGATTAGACAAGTTCTAATGAACTTGAGATATTGTCCAAATAGGGTTAGACAAATGATGAATTGGAAATCAGCTTTGAGGTGGAGTCCAGAATAATAGTTAGTCTTCACTAACGAACCAAGCGAGTAACATTACCTCTCTCTAGATTAATGATATCTAGATATTTTATAATTATTGTTCATATTCAGAGTTAAGTATAATATCTGAATTTTATTTATTAATATTATATGAGTTGAGTAATTGTGATAATTGAGAATTATAGCTGCCTGATGCTATATGAGTCAGTCAATAGAATAATTGAGAATTATAATATGCTATTACTATTTGAGTATACAGATGAATATGATTGTGATACACAACGTAGTATAGTATTCATAATGAGTACATTCGAAATATAAAATTAAAAATTAAATATGCATTAATAAACTACTGTGATTGAGAAATGTAGTTATATATTACTATCGGAGTTAAAGAGCGAGAATTACTGAGATAAATAGTCGAGTATTGTTATTCAAGTTAATGAGTTAGTATAGTTAGAGATAGATATGTAGAGATAGAAAGAGAGGGATAGAGATAGAGATGCATAAAAGGAGAGAGTGGTGGAAATAAAGATATAGAGATACAAAGAGAGATGAAGATATAGATATAGAAAAGGAAAGAGAGATGTAGACAAATATAGAAAGAGAGATAAAGATAGAGATGAAGAGAGGGAGAAAATGATAAAGATGGAGATGGAGAGAGAGAGAGAGAGAGAGATACAAAAATAGAGAGATGGAGATAGAGATGTAGATAGAGAGAAAATGATAAAGATGGAGATGCAAAGAGAGAGAGAGAGAGAGAGAGAGAGAGAGAGAGAGAGATACAAATATCGAGAGATGGAGATAGAGTTGTAGATAGGGAAATATAGAGATATAGATATAAAGAGAGATAGAGTGTTAGTATAGAGAGGGTGAACGAAAATAAGGAGAAAGAGTGTAGAAAATAAATAGAGAGAATAAGAGAATGAAATAGAAAGAGAATATATATATATATATATATATATATATATATATATATATATATGTATATTTATGTGTGTGTGTGTGTATATATATATATATATATATATATATATATGTATGTGTGTGTGTGTGTGTATATATATATATATTGTCTATATATATATCTCTATATCTATCTATATAGCGAGAGAGAGCGAGCGAGACGCGCGATAGCGCGCGAGAGAGATGGAGGGAGAAAGAGAAAATGAGAGTAAGCATAGAGAAGACGGCGAATAAGAAAGAGAATGTGTATATTATGAGCATCTATATGGCAGCTTGAGTAGTTGTAAGTCCATTATTACTCTTATTAGAGTATATGGTTGGACTATGAATCTTTGGTTGATAAATGAGTCTTGACAAACTATCCACCGATGAGTGATGGATTTTTATATCATGATTACTATGTGTCATTGTTAAGGATTACTTACTAAGCTCTTTATAGTTTATTCTTTTTATGATGTGTGTTTTGCAGATAAATTTATTTAAGAAGTAGAGAATTGAAGAAGAGAGATTGTGATACCTGGATCAAATCATTGTATTTAAATTTCTTTTAAATCGATCCTAATGATAACTACTTGTACTGGATTGTTAATGTAAATGTACACCAATATGTTTTTTTATAAATAATAAATGAAATTTTTAGGATGTACCTTGTGTTAAAAGTCGAGTGTAATAGCTACAAATACTCAATCTTATATCTTTAGCACGGATTTGTCAAATAATATTATATAAACTTATGTCTTACAAATTTAAACAAAATTATTAAATAACAATATGGACAGATTTTAGTGTTTTTTGTACCAAAAAAATAAAGAAAATTGTACATGGTGCAACTAACCTACGTCAACGTATCCCATATTTGTTTCCTAGTCATCAATAAAAAGTTATTGCAATTAAAAAATTTTGGTTGATAATTAAACACTTTTATCAAGTGCAATATAACTTAGAAATAGATTTTTTTTATAATGTTTGTTGCTACCAGCTCTCGTTTTGAGGAGTTCGAAAGGAAGCTAGTCCGGCTTCTGCAAGCGGTGGCAACAAAAAGAAGGGTTAGAGCGATTTCGAGGGGCCCCCGAAACCTCTTAGATGTAAGATTAAGTATCTAGTAGCGTGCGATTGAAAGAAAGCTAGACAAAATGACATATTGGAAGTGAATGAATGAATTAGATATTCACCTCATTGTCCTTTATAGGCGGATTACCTGATTTTACATGATGGTCCTAAGTCCGATAGTACGCCGATAGGACTGTTGTCAGAGATGGGCGGATGGTCTAACCCGTCCAGACTCTTAGTACAGATCGTCCAGGTCGCCTTTATGTCGAGGTCGAACTAGGGAAGCCTCCTGGATTCCACATACGTCATCCATAGTTTTGACTCTGTTCTTGAACCGAGTTAAAATTAATTTATTTAGACGTCCTCACCTTACTACCTCATCTTTCAAAGTGATGGTTACACTAGGACTCGAAATTTATTGGTTGTCATTTCTCTGAATTCTCTCCTCCCTACGACGACCATTGCTTTTCCTTTGATCCTTTAAAAGAGAGACAATTCAACCACTTCTTTGGTTCTCATTTCATTTTTACTTATATTGTTTTTTCTTCAACGAAAATTCTTAGGGTTTTGATGGGGAAAACCAACATCGAATCCATCTCCTCGTCTGTAAGTCCCGATTACTTAGAACATATCATAAAGTCGTATAGGATTTCAGACAAGTTTCTTCCTTCAGTGGCTCCTCCGGAATCCTCCATTCGTGATATCGGGGATCGTCAAGTGGGAGTTTACCTCCAGTTTCTCCTTGTTGGCTTAAGGTTTCTTCCCCTGTCTTTTATTGGCGACGTGTGTCGAGTTTACAAGATTCATCTTACTCAGGTGAGTCCAAATAGTTTTCGGAAGATAATGTGTTTCTTAATTCTTTGTAAGGCCTTGGATATTGCTCTAGATGTGGATATGTTTCATTATTTCTATTGTATGACCTCGATCGAAGATTGGGTTACCTTTTCCAGCCGCCAGGGGGTGGTTAATATCTGTATAGGGCTTTCAGAATCCATTAAGCTATGGAAAGAGGAATTATTTTTTGTAGATTCTTCTGCCTTTCTGTTTCCCATGTACTTCGGGAAGACTTCAAGGTGTCTTGCTGGGAGACACGAGGCAAGAGGCCTGCCCTGACCCTCAAGGAGCGGGAAATCCCTTTGATTTCATTTCTAAGAGGTGAGGTCCCGGAATCAAAACTCAAACTCAGGAAGATTCCCCATGGATCTTACTGAAATGATTTCAAATCAAGCTGGGTTCAATCTCATCCATTAGTGGATCCGGATCAAGTTGTGGATGGTCCTTCGGGGGATGGAGGGGGTTCTTGATGTGAGGATGTTCTCCCTAATCCGATCCCTTCTTCAAATGAACCATCTATGTTGAATCAAGCCGCACCTAAGTCTTCTTGTTCCCATGAATGTACTTCCCATGAGACTTCGGGTACACAAAAGAGAAGGAGGGTGTTGGTCAAAGGATTTGTGTCTATTGTTCCGATGCAAAATTCTCCCATTGATCCTACCATTTGCACAGGAAACTCTAATGAACCCGTCGGGCTTCCTGTTTCCTATCTTACCTTGGTTGCTCACACTACGGTTGATGTTCCTCTCTCTGGTCCCGGTGACTCTTCTTCGGTCACCTTTAAGGTTTCAAACTCCCTTGTGTTTCCACCGAACTCGGGTAATGCTCTTGACAAATTTATTTTTAGTCTATCTGATTAGTTTGACGTCCCCTTAGGTGATCTTAATCTTTCTGATGTTGGGTTTAATTTAGTTGTATCCAGCTCCTATGCAAAAGATGATGGCCTTAGGTCGTCTGGTTATATTCTTGGCATTCACCAAGATGTTCTGCCTAATTCCGAGATTGTAGTTTTGAAAAGCATTGAAATGTCTGCGGGGAACTCGATTGAGAAAGTAACTCCTATTATCGGGAATGTAGGAAGTAAACCTTCGGTCATGATTGATTTGTCCTCTCCTCCTAAAATCTATTCTATAAAAGAGGGGCTACCTCATTCTCCTTCCACAATTTTAGCAGCCACCTCTTTTTCTCTTCATTCATCGTCGCTTTCAACGGAGGATCTAAGAGACATGTCTACTTTGGACTTGAGGACATGATTAAATGATGATCTTTCTCGAAGCAAGGCCTCGATTGACGAAGTTTTGTTTCGCTTGGAACAGTAGTCCTCGGATGAGAGAGAGGTAACTTCTCTTTCTTAATAATTAAAGAAGGCCCTTTTGCGCATCCAGTTTTTGGAATCGGATGATTTTGATATCCGTCGCAAAGTCCCAGAGGTAAAGTTTGAGGCTCAAGAAGCCATGGCTAGTAAGCTTTCTTTACAACAAGAGATTTCGTCTTTGTCATGTGGACGAGAACAGGTAAAATCATTGGAGGATAGGGTTCGTTCGTTAGAGGCTGAGAAGCGTGAGGAGGTGAGTAATATGGAAGAGGGTCTACAAATTCTAGTATGTGAAAGGGACAAAGCTTTAAACTCGTTGGAGTCTGAAATCTTGTGTGTCTGAGAAGAGTTGGCGGCCGTCAAAGTGAAGGTGGGTGAGTTATCGGGTCAGGTGGAGCATTTATAGGTCATAGGTATTGATGCTGACCATCCAATGGTTAGTCTTGAGAGTGATAAGACGGTGATGTCTGAGGAATTGAGTTGATGTCGTATGTTGTTGGAAAAGAGCTTATCCGACGTATCCTGGTAAAAGAAGAGGTTCCGGGCGCATTGTTTCACTTGTTGCGGTCCCCTGAGTACGGTCAAGCTAATGTAAGGATCTAACTGCTTGTATTCGATATGGGCTTCATAAGGGCTGTGCCGAAATGAAGATTTGATATTTGTCCCAGGTTTCTTCTGTTGTGCTCATGTATGAATACTCGTATGCCTTGGGGATAGTCCATAATTGGTTTCGAGCTCTCATGGTGGAGGGATTTTCCTTCTTGAAACAACTTAGGGAAGGGGAGATTGGTATGTCCGAGCTTAAGGAGTTGATCGGCAAGGGGACTGGACTGAGGCCAACTGATAAAGGGGCTTAGTTTGTTTGATTTGTCTGTATGTTTGGTAAACTTAAGTATTCGAACAATTTCTTTCTTAAACTTTCCCTTTTTTGTGGTTTGCGATGTTTGAACTATTTGCTTGTGTTTTAGATGATTGTCATGATGACAAGCTTTGTTATGTTCCTAAGAAATGATTTGCACATTACTGGCTTCAAAACACATCTTTATTTGTATTATATGTTTATTTTGTGAGTTGGTGTGTGGAAGCAACTATTAGTCGGACCCTTTTATGTTTGGGTCATTGTTATAAGGACAAGGTTTGTTTTGTTCGTAAGAGAGGATTTGCACATGGGTGGCTTTGGAACACATCTTTATTTGTATTATGCATTTATTTTTGTGAGTTGGCGTGTGGAAGCAACTTCTAGTCGACCCCTTTTGGGTGATTGTTGCTGACATCTCTTTTGATTTGTTTATGTGCTTTGATCAAGTATTAGTTAAAACGGATAATGTATATCGGCATTGGGCCAACGCGTTGCGCCCATTCCGTGCCGTATGTTGTTCGGGTTTTAAGCTTGGTACGAACCAGACTTGAACCGGTAATAAGCATACATAGCACGTTTTGAGTTAGGCGACGGTTTTATGCACGTCTATTTTTTATATGCCTTCCGGGCTTTTCAAGAAGTTAATCCTTTTAGGCCGATTATGAACGTATGAAAAAACTTGGAATTAGGTAATATGATAGCCCTGCTATGAGAGCCAATTTGTGGCATATCCCTGTATTATCCAAACTTAATAGTCCTAGACGCGTTCTAAGTTTTGGACCCAGTTTCGAGCGAATAATGCTTATTTACCCCTCACAATTTAGACGTATTGAAGGGTCTAATTAGTGGTTTGGTCTAGGCTTTCTATGTAATAGGTTCTTTTGAGTCAATTTATAGTTTTTGGTAGATTGTGTGTAGTTTATGGCCCAACAATGAGTTTACGGCCGTAAGCCTGTTTACGGCTGTAAACCCAAGGCCGGCCCAGGTCCAGTATATATAGAGGTGTGCTAGGTCTTTTGTCAGTTGTTGATGCCACAGAGTTCACGGCTGCTATTACCACAAGTTGTACCAGACGTTATTCCTAATAGAAAGCGTGTGCAAGCTTGTTATCATTCTTGTTTCTACTTGTTCTTTATTGTTATTGATTGTGTTTGCTATTTGATCACTGGTAAGATCCGTTTCAGGACCTTACAATTAGTATCAGAGCAAAACCAGTGTCAAGGCATCCTACAATCGAATTTTTGACCGTGTTCTTCTTTGTTTACGACTGAAGTTGGTGTTTGCTGCGAAAGGGTTTCAAGCTTAATTCAAAAAACTGCGTTTCTGGGAGATTACGGCCATAGCTTACGGCCGTAAACTTAGATTACGACCGCAAACTCAAATAAGTTCTTGAACCGTAAATTTGGTTATTGGCCGTGAATAAGGATTTTTCAACAACCGTAAACTTGGATTCTTAAACCGCAAACACCTTTACGACCGTAAACATCTTTTGACCGTGAACAGAGTTTACGGCCGCAAACTCTCTTTTGACCGTGAACATAGTTTACGGCCGCAAACTCTCCTTTGACTGTGAACTTGTGTCTGACCGGAAACTTAATTTATTTTTAATAATTTAATTTCTATTTAATATTAATTTAATATTAATGGATTCACAAAGTCAAACACACCACCACGAGCTGGATTCTGTAATGGGCACAACCACTCGAATTCCAAGACTGCTGTCCGCTGAAGGTTTCCCTGAATGGAAGTACAAGATTGAGAAGTATATCAAGATGAAGGACTTCAAAATTTGGAGAAGCATCATAAAAGATCCTGTCAGAATAACCACCACTGTTGCAGGGCAAGTGGTTGACAAGAAGATTGAGAATTACACAGATGAAGACTTCGAGAAGGTTGAAGAGCAAGAAAGGGCTTTGGCCACTCTGACTATGGCCCTATCTCCTGATATAGCTCAAGGTTTTAGGGAGTACACTTCTGCTAAGGCTTTGTGGGAAGCCCTAATCGAGGTTTATGAAGGGAATGAAGACATGAAGGAGAGTCGCCAAGATATGCTGCGACAACGGTTTAACATGTTCAACTACGTTCCTGGAGAAACTCTTGAAGCACAGCTGCAGCGATTCACAACTCTTACCACTGGGATGATTGTAGCCGGGATCTTTTACACCAAGTCTGAGATAAACAAGAAGCTACTGAATGCTCTCCCAAAGTCATGGGACATGAATGTGGCTGTTATAAAGAAGACTAAGGATCTAAGCCGGCTCTCTCTTGCTGAAGTGATGGCAGTCATCAAGGCCTGTGATATTGATGACAAGCAGCGGGAGATAAATCATGTGAATTCATACTCAGCTGCAAACCTTGGGATCTCTTCTAACAATGCTCTTTCATCTCTCACTTTTTCTTCTGCAGGTCAACCCTTTGCTGCTCAGCAAGCTCAGAACCAATCATTCGTGGCTGCTCAAGCTGCTTTTCCTCCAATGTGGCTTCCTCATCAAAAGGCAAGGAGGGTGATGAAAATCTCACTCTTGCTACAGGGCTTGTTAATTGCTACAATGCACTTGTAGCTGGAGATCTTCCGCCCCAATTGTCATTTGCCGATCTCGATCAGATTCACCCTGAAGACGTAGAAGAGATGGATATCACATGGCAAATTGCCATGGCAGTTTTCAGGGCGAAATAGTTTGCCAAGAAGACCGGAAAGAACAACTGGGTGATGAGTGCTGACAAGAAGGTTGGGTTCAGCAAGGGAAAGCTACGTTGTTTCAACTGCCACGAGCCAGGGCATTTTGCTCGTGAGTGCCCGCAGCCGGATAAAAGATTGAATAATGACCGGACAATGGTTGCAGTTGGGAACAATCGAAGCGGTGTTCAGGTCAACAGCGAGAAGGCCATGGTTGCACAATCTTTTGACTGGGAGGAGCAGATGCAGGCCCTGAACATATCAGGACCTGAAAATGCTCATTTCGCACAGGTTGGTGATGATGCTCCGGCAGAGATTGTTGCAGCTGAAGATCAAATGATGGAGCTGCAGTTTGCGTTGATGGTATCTTCTTCTCATGAACCAAATAAAAACGAGGTAAGTCTACCCTCATGCTCTCAAGCTTGTAT